GCGTCGATTGCGGCGCCACACTAGCTCTTCCCGCTGCCGGGGAAGGACCCTGACGACTCCGCTCTGCTTTGGGTCGTTTAACAACGCCGACGCAGCATTCCTTCTCCGCCTCTTCCCATTCATCGGCGTCAAGGCTCATGGCCAACGATGGTCGATCGTCTGGCGGTTACCTCGGCGGTGGAAGGACGGGATTTAGGGAATCCCTTGTTGCATCGGAACTCGCTCCCTGACTTCTTTCTTGTTCGTCGTAGCCGAATCTGTCATCGTTGTAGAAGTGGTAGTTTCTGTCGTTGGTTGATTCATTGCTACTTTTCTCGGCGGCTCGTTAGTGATCTCCAACCACTGCGGCTGTTTAATGTTCCCGGCAGCAACATCGGCTAGAGAAACAGCTAATGACGACGGTGGTGGTGATGTCGCAGCAGCTGTTGGTGGTGTGGAAACTTCTTTCGTGGCTGGTGGCTCTGCGACATTGGTCTTTGCCTCGACTGGTGGAGAAACGACTACAGCATATGGTGTCGTTGCGGAGAAGACAGTTGTTGCTGCCACTACTTTCTCGGCCGCCAACATTGGCTCCATCGATGCGGTGTCTGCGGCTTTGGGTGGAGCAACCTGCCCGACTTTCCCGGACAGCAGCGAGGACGAGGTAACCTTGTCCCTCCTTACCTCTCCCAGCTTCAGCTTCAGAATCTTTGTAAGTTCGCTGATTGAGAGCTCTTCGAATCTCGACATGGCTCCGGTACGAGTGCCTGTAAGACCATCTCCAACAACTAACCTTAAAAGCCAAAAATCCTAAAATACTTCCTCCAATGGCAATTTGGAAAAGCTAAAAAGCTAAAAAAATCAAAAATTTCAGCAAAAAACCCATTGGAAAAAGACAAAGAAAGCTAAATGTGGGCTGGGAGCTGGCCCCACACTTTTCCACCTTTATAATCGTTGGAAATTGAAAAAGAAGAAGAAAAAAATCTATTTCAGTCACTCAAATAATTACCAACGGCTCTATTAGTCCCTAATAGTTCTTTTTCACGGATTTCTCTATAAACATCATATTTAACAATAAATTTTTTTATGTAAAAATTAAAAAAAAATGTCGAAACATTCATATTAATTAATTATCTCTACCTATATACAAATAATCTATAAAATATCTAATTAAAGTGATGAAATCTACACTAAGCTAGATTATCACAAAATGACAAGATTTGACATTCTAGCATTTTGACTTTGCTTGTTGGAGCAAAAACCACTTTTTGAGTGCCAAAATGCCAAATAATTTTGGCATTCTAGCATTTTGACATTTGGTTGTTGGAGATGGTCTAACCGGGCTCTGATACCACTGAAAGAACCCTCTTGTTAAGGATTCTAGGGATTGATCTTCGGCACCCGTAATTATCATAACAATTAGGGATTTAGGGATTGAGAGAAATAATTAGGGATTTAGATGAGAAGAATAGAATAGAATTGGGAATCGGCCGAGGCCTTGGATTAGAAGAGAATAGGAATTAGGAGTTGAGAGGATAAACTAGGGTTTAGGAGATTCTTCTTAATATTGTTCTTGATTGATTATGACGTAAACCCAAAGTACATATTTATAGGATATAAACCCAGAACCCTAACAATTAATCCTAACCCATTAGGCTATACTTAGCCGCCTAACTCTATTAATCATAACACTACTAATATATATTCCTAACATCGTCATACAGTTTCAAAACCATGGTCTCTCATTCGAAAAAATTCTGATAACATACCATAAACCAACTAGTCTAAATGATTAAGAAATAATCGTGTTAAGTTTTTATATCTTCTTGAATTCTGAAGGGGTAGGGGTTTGGTGGGGGGACTCATTTTAGTTTTAGCCCTTAGATAATGAGGCACTTCCAAAGAAAAAGACAAAGGCTGTCCACTTGGCGCCGCTCATATCTTTAGCAGTTGGGGGCCAGATTGTTGAGAATCTGTACCAACTTAGGGGCATCTGAACCCTCATTGACCGACCTGACTGCTCCCATTCGTGGGGGAGAGCCATTAGTTTAAGGCCATAGTTTTTTTGTCTTCTTCTGGTTTGCATATCTTGGAGCATCAATCTTAACCAATAATCTAACTGGATTTTCCCCGTTTCTCTTAATCTAGTGATCGATCAATGAGCTTTTCAGGACCACTTCAACTAAACCCGTAGACTGTCCTCCACATGGACCAAAACGTTAGCTGTGGTTGTCATTTCTTTCGACTGAAATTGTGAGATGGAAATCCGCATATACTGTATTTAACTAAATGGCTATAATATTTAGATACACGCCAAATAAGAGCCTTCTGTCAAGAACCCGTTGATCTCAATAACTCGAGTTGTTGGGAGAAGATTCTGCTGGATCTTATACCACTCTCTAACACGCCCCCTCAAACGAAAGCCAACCCATGGGCTTGAAGTTTGCACAGGCCCACCATACCATGTGCTTGAAAGACAACGGTTAATATTGGGGGTCGTGGAGATTCGAACACATGACCTTTCGGTTCTAGGCTCTGATACCATGTTAGCGAACTAACCACTTGGTCCCAATAACTCGAGTTGTTGGGAGAAGGTTCTACTGGATCTTATACCACTCTCTAACACCCTCTTCCCTCGTCTAACATACTAAATTTTGATTATAAACAACAATGGTAGGTGACCTGTCTTCTTCAGTTGGCAAGTACACAATTCTATCTTATTTTATTTTGGAACTTTTGCCTTCTATATTTTTCCATTTGGTTTTTGTTTGGAAACAAGTTTTGGGGGGTAAAGGGTTGATCTTCGTGATTGAGATAAACATGCCAACAACTATGTAGAATGGCAAAATTGTACTCTTGACTTCCTACTAATAATTGTCAAGTAGTCCTGTCTCTCCAACAAGGAAGGAGAACCAATGCTGGAGTGGAGCTACATACAAAAGCTATTGTTAATCCAATTGTCTTCTCTAATCTCTATAATTTCAATTGGAAAAGGATATTACATTTTACACCCATGTGGGCAGGAATAAGTTTTCGCATAGTCTATTAATTAATTAATGTGCTTTCAGTTCATTGTCACAGGTTTGACTTGTCCACCCAGCAGAAGAAAAATGATGGGGGTTGCCATTTCTGTGCATTGGGTTTGACCCTGATGGTTCAGTATTAATTACTTAGAGCAATATACAAACTTTATGTTGAAGATCATGGAAATCATGGGTATAGCAGAATAAGTTATCTTGTCTTCTGCTTCACATTTGAAGTATATATTGTTTCTAGTTTTTTTTAATAAGGGTAATATAGGTTGATTTTTAGTTAGTTGTTATTTAAGAGTTTCGAACCTGAAACCTCTAGATTTTACACCAATGATATTTTTTAATTCAAATGGTGCGAGTAACTCTACTTCCGATTAGCAAAATATATGTTGGGGGCATCGCTCCACCAATTCGATCATACATGACCAAAATGTATAATATCTAAATAAAAATAGAAACGACTTGGCTACTTAAGGGTATTGAATGAACATTTCAAACTAGGCAGTCTACTAAGTAATTGCCTTCTATATATAGGCGGATTATCCTAAATTCCTAATTGTCCAAGCACACTCAAAGAGAGCTCGAAAGCGAAGAAGAAGGGAGGCGTCTTGGTGATTAGGGTTCTCTTGACTCTGAAGAATGGCCACCGCAACAAAAGAGTAAATTAGCTCCATACCTCTTACAAAATGGTTTGAACTACTACTCGCCGGCCCTTATGTGCATCCGACCAAGGGTTATAGCCAAAAATACACATAAGGGATAAAAACATATGGACAATGTATTTTCTCATTTAGTCGCGACTTATAACCCCAATCACTGCAATACCCTTGCATAACAAATTTTCACGTATCACATCCCACGAGGATATAGCCCAATGATGACAGGTAGAAATGACTATTCTAGACCCCATATTATGCCCAAAGTGCATACAGTTTCCCATCATTAATACCTTGAATTTGTGTTATGTTTGCTTCAAGTGTATGTTCTACCAAGTCTAGGATTGCTTTTGCGGGTTTGATGCATTTTTTTTGGGCGGTATTTTGTGCCTTTTCAGGAGAAATCAGACTAGTTAACCACTTGGTAGCAATTGGAGGTTGGAATTCTGTGGAAGATATGATAGTGGAAAGCAAGTACTTAAAACCAAATGATTAGGACCCATTTAAGCAAAACAAGTTGACTAAAACCATCCTGATTAGCAATCATATCAGCCCATTATATGGATAACAAATAACAATGGACTGGCAATATTAATAATTGTGTATTTAAAGGGAATAAATATGAGCATTCGGAATACAAAATAATTTTCCTGGATACGAAAATCTCCACCAAACATAAAGTCGAGGGGTTTTCCTTTTCCCCACTCGTCCCATCTTTGCGTAGGTCTAAATGACCATGTCTCCATCTCATCTCCTCTTATCAAAATGGAAACTCTTCTTTAAATGGATTGATACCTTAATATAACAAAACAAAAGTAAAAAATGTATCGCATACCTCATCCTATATTGGAGTAGTGACAAACTGGCAGATGTGCATAACAATTATTGATTAATGCTAATTACCATCTGATCCTCTAAATTTACTCTAATCAACTAATAATTAGCCCAACAAAGAAAATGCATCAAGAGAATGGAGACAAATTAACTAGCCAACCAATGGCAACAATATTTTTAGCAATGATCAAAAGATGCTAATTCACCACGTGGGCTGGAGAAAGAATTGATTTCATATTTTCACATTTCACTCCAAACCCAGCCCCTCCCTCCTCTTATTATATAGACAGAACAAAAATGGCTATAGGCTCTTCTTACAATTCTTGAGAAGATAGATAACTTGGAAGGATCCTCAAATGGATAGCAAATGGTTCAATGATCTGGTATGCAACAATCTTCGATTCATAATTACCTCTCCCTTCTTGTTTTCTTCTTCTTTATTTCCAAGCTAATTGTTTTTCGTTTTTTTTTTTGTTGTGGTTCAAAATTTTAGCAAGAAATGGAGGACTACAAGTTCTTCCAACACTGCGAGGCAATCAACTCCGAGCTGCAGGATGACGAGTTCATCATCAACACCAACCCAACAACAACACATGAGCTCCACGTGTCCGCCGCCGCTGCCGCCGCCGGAGAATCCCTTTCCAGCCTCCAGCCATCCTTCTCCTCCGAGAGCTACTCCTCCTTCCATCACACAGCCACCCTTCCAAACGTCGCCGTTTCCACCGTGGTCCCCGCCGCGGCCGGAAGCGGCTCTTCCATGAACGAAACCTACGATCACCACATCTGCCGGCCGACAAAGCAGCAGAAGAAGACAAACAGCTGGAGCTCCACCGTGACCACCGACAACCTCCACCACCACCGCCACCACCACATCGATTTCGCTTCCTCCCACTCCTCTCAAATGCTGTCCTTCGACAACTCCAACTCCACCACTTCTTCTTCTTCCCTCCAGCTGCCTTTCTCCAGAAACTTGGACAACACGGTAATGAAGCCCAGAGACGAGGAGGCTGCAGCTGACTTGCTTTTCCACCCTCCGATGATCAGCAACAACTACAACCACCTTAGCGATCCTTTTGAGAACACCGTCTACGCTCCAAAGTATATGATCAAGACTCGCCCCTTTTCGTCCATGGCGGCGGCCACCAGAAGCCCTTCCCACGCTCAGGACCACATCTTGGCCGAGAGGAAGCGCAGGGAGAAGCTCAGCCAGAGGTTCATTGCTCTCTCTTCCATCGTCCCTGGCCTCAAGAAGGTAACACATTATTTATTTTTTTCTCTCTTTTTTTTTTAACCAAGATAAGCTCTAGAACTATACAGATATAAGATGATATAAGATAATAATAAATAGGATGGCAATTTTGACCTGAGCCGTTTTACCCGACCTGTTTGACTTGTTTTTGGGCGGGTCCGACTTGTCCCGTAGGCGTGGCGGGGCGGGCATGGGTACTCTCATCGACACGACCTGCCCTGACCCGCCCCATTATCGACCCGTTCTTGCCTAAATTACACGTATTTTTAGGGGAATGGATCAGGTCAGTAACCCTATGGTGAGTAACCATGAGTAACCCGTCCACATAAGCATGACATCAGCATCCTCTCTCTCATGCAAAGCCTTTAATTTTTCCCTCTTTAATCTTTGACGGACGATTTCTCGCTCATTTTAAGTCGAAATTTAATTTTTTTGCACAGTTAGATCAGATTAATTGTGCTCTTCAAAATGATATCCACTTTAATATATTTTTCAAACAAAAAAAAATTGAGCCATTTTTTTCCAGCCTATACCATATGGTATTGACTGGTATTGAAATAAAAGCATACCTATGTTTTGAAAAACGTACCATGGTGGTATGAACAAACCAATACTGTAAGATGGTTGAATACATGATAATAGAAGTATATTAATTGTAATTTACGACTTTTAACATTGTATACCACACAATACCACCCCGTACCAGGGTGGTATTGTATGGTATTGTGTGGTATTTTTTGGTCATGTAATTTGTTCACCCAGAAATTTGTAGATCCAATAGAACATGATGAACTCGTCCCTTCTGTGCAAACATTTTCAAAAACGAATTAAAAATGAAGAAGATACCATACAATACCACCCCGTACCAGGGTGGTATTGTATGGTATTGTGTGGTATTTTTTGGTCCTGTAATTTGTTCACCCAGAAATTTGTAGATCCAGTAGATCATGATGAACTCGTCTCTTCTGTGCAAACGTTTTCAAAAACGAATTAAAAACAAAGAAGATACCATATGGTATGCAGTTGGTATCGAGATGCCAGAATTTTTTTTTCTCAAAAAATATTGAAAATTAATCTCATTTTGTAGAGCACGGTGAACTCGTTCCATCTGTGCAAAAAAAAAAAAATCCGAGTTAAAACGAAAAAGATATGAGTCAATTAAGAAAGCTAGTGAAAATAAAAATGGTCTTTAATTCTCCATCCTTAGATCTGAATTTTCAAAATAAAGGGTCCAGATTTGGTTATTGATGGGTGCATAACCCATGGTTATGCACCCTATCTTGAGCCTATTTTTAGTCAAATTACTTAGGATTTTCCTTTTACTAAATCAAATTTTAGCTATAATAAAGTTGTAAATTAGTAAAAACCTCAATTTCTCCTATAATTTAACTATATTTATCATAATATTGTTTGTTTTCATGGTCTTATAATAAAAATAACAAACATTTCTAATATTTTTTATATAAATTACTTACCCATTGGGTCGACCTGCCCCGACTCGTAACCCGTGATAAATTACCCGACCTACCACGGGCGGGTCTAGGTACCAAGAAACCCGCCCAGACCTGCCCCATTATCATTCCTGATAATAAAGAACGACAGTCCGTAAGCAACCAGACTCTAATTAACTGACAATGTTTGTTAATTAATGGGTTTGATTAACTAGATGGACAAAGCTTCGGTGCTTGGGGACGCGATAAAGTACGTGAAGCATCTCCAGGAAAAGATCAAACAGCTGGAGGAGCAGACCAAGAAGAGAACCGTGGAGTCGGTGGTTCTCGTCAAGAGATACCACCTTCCTGCCGACGACGACTCGAATTCCTCTTCGAACGACGACGACGACAGCAAAAGCAATGTTGAGAAGGCGGGATGTTGCTCGGACTCGACGCTGCCGGAGATCGAAGCGAGGGCGTCGGAGAGGGACGTTATGATACGCATCCACTGCGAGAAGCAGCCTGGCGTGCTCGCCAAGGTCCTGACCGAGGTCGAGTCTCTGCATCTGTCGATCGTCAATAGCAGCGTGATGCCGTTCGGCAACTCCACCCTCGACATCACCATCGTGGCTCAGGTAACTAACTAACTATCTTATTCATGTATAACTCAATCAAAAAATTAAATTGAGTCAATTTAAAAATTGTAAAGTTAGCAGTAAGGTTGTCAACCCGCGGGTTGAACCAGATCCGGTCGAGCTAGTGGGTCAAAGGTTAATGGGTCAACCGTTTTAGTCCGGTTTGGCCCGGAAATATGGAAAGAGTCATTATATTGTACTTATCCTCGTAAATTATATCAAATCTTATCTAACATATGAGTTATAACGTATATTAGACTAATAGTACACCAAAATAACATATCGTGCTTAGATCCAACATATAGTGAAAATTCACACACTTATATAACATAAATATTCAAATGTTCAACTTAGGATTCCAAAAATTGAGTTAGGCGAAAAGAAAAATCGTAAAATATGCGCATTTCGCAAACCAAAGAAAAAAAGACACAATTTGACCTCCAATCCAGACCTTGTAGCGGTCGGTCCGACGGGTGCGTACGGCCCTTTTTTCTCAACGGATCAGGGTCAAATTGGGTCGAACCGCGAATCAACCAGCGGGTTGACAACCTTAATTAGCAGTAATATTTGATGTGGGTCATTATTATATTGCAGATGGATGGTGAGTTCTCCATGACAGTGATAGAGCTGGTGAAAAATCTGAGGCTGGCGTTTCTCAAGTTCATCTGATGCCGGTGAAATTTGAATACTACTTAAAAGCGTCCAGCCCAGGCCAGCCCACGTGCTGAAATACACAGTCCGATGCTAGCTCCAGATCCCTTTTAGGAGGTTGTAGTCTTCTCTTCCTATGTTTGTATGGATTTGTGGTCCATATTGTAAATGTGTTGTCCATGTTGTTTTCAGGAAGAAATACTTGAACCAACTGGATCTATGTTGAACCGCTCCAAAATCAATGGGTTTGAATTGGATTTGGATCTACAGATCAGTTTGTTCAAGTATTTTCCTTTCCTGTTCTATATATCAGGCTCTTCAATTTTTCTTTGGTGGGTTGGGGTTGAATTACTAGTGCTGTTGGTCAACTATTTTTTTCCCCCGCCACTGGGTTTCAGAGGCATTTCATACCCTCTTAATTCGATAAGTTTGATATCATATTTTTGTCCCCACTTCATGGTCGGGATTTGATTGTGTAATTGTTGTGAATGAATTGCTATGTAAAGTGGAATTTCATCGTTATTTGCTCGAATGTTCCCCATTATTGTTCATATAAACGTTTGTTTGAAGGTTACGATTGTTAAGTATTATTGTGAACACATATATAATATTATACATCTATTGAAGAATTTGATGCATTGTAAAATACAACGTTTGGTAATTGTGTTTGTGTATGTCACATCAGCAAAAATTCATGTAAAACAATCTCAACTCAACTATCTTAATAATCTCAACTAAAATCTGCGATATAACAATCAATCATTGATTTTGAGTTATAGTTTGTCATATCATAGGAAACAATTAATATATTGTGTATGTAAAAAAAAAACCAATATAGTATAATAACAATCTCATGATAACAATTACAACTTCCAAATGATTCATTATATTGTTTTCGTACTTGTTTCCGTTGCGGCAGGTGGATTAATGAATGCTTACGCGTACATCACCCTGAAACGAACTACAGTTTAACCTCTATAAATTAATATAGCCGGGACCGTGAAAATTATTAATTTATAGTAGTTATTAATTAATCATAAATTAATAATTATTATTTAAGGAGGTTTTTCTTATGATGTACGTTCATAATATTTTTCAAACATTTCAAGTTCATACGGTAAATTATCGCATTCTACGCATTCATTGTCCTAAATAGAAGAAAATTATGTATTCTTCCAAGATAAATGTATTCGATGTATTCTTGTAGATGGTCTAGATTCATTTTTTAAATTACTTTCACCCCTATATTCATTGATCATACATTCAATATAATTCATCGAATATATGAAGAATGTATCACGACACAAACGTTAGAAGAAATTGTGGCTGATGTCAGTGAGGGTTCATTAATTGAGGATGAAGGAGATGACGATTCAACATCTTGGGAATCGATCATGCAAAAGGAATCACTTAAAGCCGCATCGACACTTCAAAAATACTTGATGCAATTAGAGAGGACAACACCGAAGAGTTTGAGTGCAATGAGGAAAGTTCAAAATGAATTTCTATTAGACTTGAACTTCATCAATAAAAAACAACTATATATTCATATTTTTTCTAGATTATCCTAGCTATATTATAAATTTCTAGATGAATTGTATTTTTACAATTATTAATTTATAGAGTTAAAAATACTTGTATTTATGTAGGTTCGTTCTCAAAAATTATTATCTTATTATTTTATTAAATTTGCTTATTTTTTATACCGGCTCAACATGGTAAGTATGCAACCTCAAAACATAATCACTAAATTGTATCCAAGACCTAACAATTTCCTGAGATACATAACCCTTGGTATTGTTAATGAAGATTGAGTCTCTAACCTTCTGTTACATCAGTTTTCCATGCACTTAGGCTGACTCTAATGGGAGCGTTATTTCCTCCTTTGTCGGCATTTATGGCGAGAATCGCCATTTGGTTCCCCAAAATCGGGGGTGCAAATTGGGATTTCCCTTAAAATGGAGAGTGGGTGTGCTAGTGGACAGGCCCGCCATTAGCTTTTTTTTAAAGATTTTAGGTGTTAATTGGGGGCAATTAGAGGTATAATTAGATCAATCATTATCAAGTGTTGTGCGTAAAGAAAAATTAGGTCAGTTATTTTTTTCCAAAAATAAAATTCAATCTCAAAATTTTTAAAAAAATTATCGTAAAATTTTTATGTAAAATTAATGATGAACTATACAAAAATTAACATGAACAAATTATATTAAGATAATAATAAGTACATTTTTAAGTAAAGAAAAACTAGAAAAACGGGAGGAATCCAAATTTGGAGATGGTAGAATTGGAGCAAAAATTATGAAGATGGGGATCATCCCAAAATTTGAAGATGAAGGTTCCCAAATTTGGGTAATAGCATTGGAGTTGGTCTTACTGTTAGCCCATATTCCCCTTATATTTATATAACTACTTTCGATCAACTGATGTATATCTAATATCTCTCTTCCAATGTATAAGTCACAGAGTACCAATAATCAATAGCAACTAGAACTCAAATGGTGATCATTCCTCTCCTTCTAATAATGATTCATTTTTCCTCCTATCCTAGGTAATCGTCCAAGCCTCTACTGGATGGAAATTAGTACCCACCTATGGGTAATTTTACCAATACTCAAGTAGACTTATTGATTATGTGTAGAGTATAGGTGAAGTATAAATGAGTGTGGGGTTTGTAGATAGGTTTCGGTAAGGTATGTATACTACTTTCATAATCTAAATGAGTATGAGTTGAGTATGAATACCCGTTTATTTTAGGGTGTTTTAACTACGATATAAAGACTTGGACCTATTTGTAAAACTTAAAAAGTTTAGGTATCAAAACATAAGACATAATAAATTTTAGGGTGTACGAACCCAAATTTATGGATTAAAAATTCAACCCAACCCTAATAAATGAGTATCAGTACAAACCCACCAAACTCTAACATTTACCGTCTATTTGGATTGTATGGCCAAGCCAATTGGTATGGATAGTAATATATCCATCAGTATAGGCAAAATTGACATCCCTACTCCTTGGCCAGTAGCTCAATGCCCGCCCGCAACTCACTGCCATAAAAGACTTACCATGGAACCAATCTTCTCTCCGTGTACCCTTGACACTGACCCTATAACCCATGAAATCAGCGGTGAGTCCTTCGAAGCAAGATAGAACTGCCGCCGTCAGACCAAAAGCTATAACTCCCCACTGTGTTTGGAAAGTGGATATTCGAAAGGATTTTGATTCAGTTGACTAGAAATTCTTGGTTAAGGTTCTAAGTGCTATGAGGTTTCCTCTAGGGTTCATTAGACATATTGAATCTTGTGTGATGTCTCACATGTTCAGTGTTTCTTTTAATGGGGGGATTTGTGGCTATTTTCAAGGGGGTAAAGGGCTCAAACAGGGAGACCCTTTGTCCCCGTATCTATTTACAGTGGCAATGGAGTGTTTTTCTTGTCTTATGGCTCGAGAGGTTGAGAATCAGCATATCCCTCATCATCTGAGGTGTAAGGCATTGTAGATAACACACATTGCAGACGACCTTCTGGTATTTGTCAATTGGTCAGTGAGAGCTGTTGCAGGTATCCGAAGGTTTTTTTTTTTTGACAAAACAGGTATCCGAAGGTTGTTGGACAAGTTTTATCATATTTTGGGGCTTCAGTGCAATATGGCTAAGTGTAATCTCTACTATGCTGGAATTTTGGATGATGAGAAGCAATTTATCTCACGCACAACAGGGTTCCCATTAGGAGAATTTCCAGTTCTGTATTTGGGGGTGCCACTTATAACTGGAAAGTTAAGTTCTACTGACTGTCAGCTGCTGGTTGATAGGATCACAGTAAAGATAAGAAGTTGGAAAGCTCGATATCTCAGCTATGCAGGCAGATTGCAGTTGATCTCTGCTGTGATTACAAGCACTCTTTAGTATTGGATGGCGATTTTCTGTTTGCAAATGAAGGTTCTAAGAGAAGTGGAGGCAATATGTAATCGGTTTCTATGGGGTGTGGGGGAAGATGGAGGCAGGAAGAGAGCTCATTTTGCTTGGTCATTTGTTGCTAGGCCAAAAATGGAAGGAGGTTTGGGTATCAGGGATTTTAATTCTTGGAACCAGGCATGTGTGATTCGCCATATATGTAACAGTAAGCAATTTGTATTTACATCTAGTTATCCAAGCCACAAAAATGTATTAATTAGGGTTAAAAAGTAAACGATATGCTTAAATATTGATAATAGATGTGTCTACAATACATTAAAGAATTCACATGAATGCGAAATGTCATAATGTTTGTATGAATATAAAAAATCTATTAAAAATCAAAATATTGAGAAAATATAAATTAATTGTCACGTCATACGACATTTAAAATGCACCTAAATTTAT